GTCTCTCCCCTTTGAAGGACCTCTTCGATATTGGTGACCATGATCTTCTGAACATCTTGCAGCTCCAAGTTGATGCTGTTCAGATGGCGCTTTGACCAGGTGTCCAGGTACGACTTCTTCAACTTCTGGATGTACGTGTCTAAGAGAAAGGTTTCCACTGTTATCGTTCATTACGATCCATAGTCTAGACAAATCAATATACTTGACGATAGTTTCCGAACCTGACAACTTTCCTAACACATGTTAAGGGGCCACGAAGCACGTTATTATTTTTTAAGGTGTACCCGTTAAGTTTTTTTTTAAGATGCACACCTAAAAATGTAAAACATGACCGGTTTAACAAAATGTCCTTCTACAACATACATGTTATCAGAGAGCCACAAGTAGCTACAGATCCCTGCTGAGTAACTGGCTGCAAACCCACGTTTATTGTTGAGTGATGTGCGAAAACGGGCTTAATTTCAGAACTAAAGTTTAGGCTGACTATTATTCCGCAATGCTTTAATCAACCTTTGTTTTTTAAAAATTATATTGGTTATGCAATTCAGTGGTTTCTGAGAAACTCGATTGTTTAAAAAACAAATTCACATAAGCAAGTTTCTAGTCTCCAAGATGATGATAGACCTGAAAGATAAGATTTCAGGATCCCCAGGTCTCCTGCTTGGTGTATCTTCCTGCTCTTTCCAGTGACTAGCCAAAAGAGAACACATTTTACAAAATCAAATGAAAAAATGCAAATGTGCTCCCTATGCGTTAATTGACATGTTGTAAAAATCTGCTGTCCTTGGTACGTAATGTGGGTTCAATGGTGCAGGATCTATTGATTATTACTGTTTAGTTCAATATTGCTCACACTGCCATTTCAGTGAGGTCTAGGGATCCCAACCTCACGTGGGACTTGGGGTTCCCACAGAATCACAGTTCCTCTCCAGACCTTTCTTTGCAAGCTGAAACCAAACACATTCTCTCCTTGGTTTGCCTGGTTCCCAGACGACAGAGATCAGCCCCCCTAGAGAAAATGGATGCTTTGGAGGGTGGACTCTGTGGCACTGTACCCCACTTAGGTCCTCCCCAGGCTCCATCCCCAAATCTCCAGGAGTTCCCCAACGTGGATTTGGTAACCCTACCCCTCCATCTCCTGCCGGTGGCCAGCAGGGACCTGGCAACCCTAGTGAGGTCAGGCTATAGCTGTTCATCTTTGCACTACTTGCTGGCTGAGGAGAAACATGGCAGCTTTCCCATAATCCCTTGCCTCAGTGAAACAAGGCCACAATTGAAAACAGACTTAAGCCCAACGACCTTCACAGAAATTAATCTTCCCCTGGACTGTGGCTGTCATATGAAAGGTGCTCCCTTTCGAGAAGGTGGTATGCCCAACTGTTAGTGGGAAACAGATGTGACTGAGGACCAGGAAACGGCATGTCAGACGGACTATGTCCAGAAAGGATGAGAGGGATTGGATTCCGTGTGGTCACCAGGGCAGGTCCCAAGACACTGTGCAGACTCTGACATCGCAAGGGTCCCCAACCCCACTGAGCCTGTGAACACTGTTCTGAAATTCTGAGAAAGGGCAGTAGGCCCTCACCACAACATGGCTGCCACAAATGCAGGGCCGGTCACAGCAAGGTCACAAGCCAGGCATCAGCCTAAAATGCGGGCAGCTGTGCTCCCTGAAATCACAAAGGCTGAGGAACCTCCTACACTGGGATTGGTACTGAAAAGTATGCAGACGGAGAGTGATTTCAGCAAAGCATACTTTATTCAGTCAGGAACAAGACACTTTGGCCGGCTCGCAGGCCGGCTTATATTCCCTCAGAACCCACCACCACAACACACACCCCACTTCCCGATAGGCTATTTACAGTGACCGAGAGACCTCACGGTCTGGGACCTAGCCCTCTGATTGGGCGGGCTAGGATCCTCCTGGCCCATTGTCTTTAGGCGCGAAGCTTGAGGTTTGTCCCTGGACAAGTCCGGCCATGCCCGGCCATGTCAGGGCTGGATACACTACAGGTACTTTGCTGGGGGGGGGGAGAATAAGGTTGCCAATTCTGTGTTGGGAAATACCTGGAGATTTGGTGGGGGTGGGGTGGATCAGCCTGTCGAAGGCAGGATTTAGGGAGGGGAGAGACCTCACTGGTATATAATGCCATAGAGTCCACTCTTACAAAGCAGCCATTTTCTCCAGGGGAACTGATCTCTGTCGTCTGGGAATCAGGCAACCCTGGGAGAGAATGTGTTTGGTTTCGGCTTGCAAAGAAAGGGGAGGGCTTTCTCACAGCGCAGTTAAGTGGTGCCCAAGCCCAGAGACAAAAGGGAGTCCATCTCTGTGACCCAGCTGAGGGCACGGCCTGCTAGTCAGTGGAACTGCTCAACCGCTGCCAGCACTCCCCCGGTGATTTTCTGTTCCATTCAAGACCCTTTGGATTTTATCTCTACGTGTCAAGGAGCCCCACATCTGTGAGTTTTTCAGGATATAAGCTTTCCAGAGTCAAAGCTCCCTTACAAGGCGGAATGGAGATCTCGGAGTGCTTATACCCCAGTCAGGAGGTGGGAGGGGTGTCGCAAAGAAGAGAGCCAGGAAGCTAAGGTTCAGAAAACAGTAAACCTCTCAGTACGAGAGCCAGGAGGCAACCTCAGGGGAAGGCCTCAGCCTCTGTGCTCTGCTGCTGGCCCTCCAGAGGAACTGGTTGGCCACTGTGTGAGGCAGGAGGCTGGACTAGATGGACCCTCACTGGTCTGATCCAGCAGGGCTCTTCTGATGTTCTTCTGTTGGAATAGGGAATTAGATTCATGGAAGATACGTCTATCAGTGGCTACTAGCCATGGTGACTGAGGGGAACCTCCACATTCAGAGGCAGTAGTCCTCTGAATCCCAGAGCTGGGAGGCAACATTGGGGAAGGCCTCGGCCTCTATGCCCTGCTGTTGGCCATCCAGGGGAACTGGTTGGCCACTGTGAGAGACAGGATGCTGGACTAGGTGGACCCTCACTGGTCTGATCCAGCAGGGCTCTTCTTATGTTCTTGTAACAGGGAATTAGATAGATCCATGGAGAATAAGTCTATCAGCGGCTACTTGCTGTGGTGACTGAGGGGAACCTCCACATTCAGAGGCACTGAACCTATGAATCCCAGATCCAGGAGGCAACCTCAGGAGAAGGCCTGGGCTTCTGTGCCCTGTTGTTGTATCTCCAGAGGAACTGGTTGGTCACTGTGTGAGACAGGATGCTGGACTAGATGGACCCCTGGTCTGATCCAGCAGGGCTCTTTCTTATGTTCTTAAAGGGACAATGCAAAATGTACTCAGCTTGATTAAAGCAGGAGAGAAATATTTAGGGGCAAAAAAAACTAAAAACTAGCATCTATACTGAGACAAGAACTGGAGTTGAATCCAGTAGCCCCTTAAAGATCAACCAGTAGCACAGGGGCCAACAAGAATTTGCCAGATATGAAGGGAGCTTTGGCTTTCAGAAGCTCATACCCTAAAGATCTTGTTGGCCCCTGTGCTACCGGACTCGAATCGAGCTCTTTTACTGCAGACCAACAAGGCTACTCTCTGAAACTGTAGTGAGAGAAGAATGCTGTGTCCCTATGCCCCCCATCGGGGGAGGATCCATTGTTCTGAATTTGTGAATGAACTTAAGTTCATCAACCTCACGTTGTACTCTCCCCTTGAAGCTTCCGTGTTTGAGGACTGCCACTCTTAGGTCAGCAGTGGAGTGTCCTGGAACGTTAAAAATGCTACTGTTTGTTGAGTGTTGTGGGATTTTTTTTGCCAAAGCAACTCACTTTAGATAAGGGTTAGCAGGTGCATGGCCATCAGTGAATTCAGTTTGTGGGTCCCCAGGTTCTGCTAACCAAGAAGCAACTGGGAATCCCTACTGGAGCTTTCCATAGAGCCCCCACATGAGAACCCCCCTACTCAATCCAGTCAAGGGCCCACCTAGTCCAGCATCATGGCCAACCTGATGTCTCAAGAAGAAGAAGAAGAAGAAGAGGAAAGAAGGAGGAGGAGGAAGAGGAGGACGAGATTGGATTTATACCCCGCCCTTCACTACCCAAAGGAGTCTCAGAGCGGCTTACAATCTCCTTTCCCTTCCCTTCCCCTCCCCACAACAGACACCCTGTGAGGTAGGTGGGGCTGGGAGAGCTCTGACAGAAACTGAGCTCTTATCAGAACTATGGCTTGCCCAAGGTCATCCAGCCAGGTGCAAGTGGAGGAGTGGGGAATCAAACCCGGTTCTCCCAGATTAGAGCCCGCGCACTTAACCACTACACCAAACTGGCTCAAGTGCGGCATGAAGGCAATGGTTCCCCTAAGGTTTGCCCCAGCTGGTGGTATTCAGTGGTGCACTGCCTCTGAACATGGATGTTCCATTTAGCGATCCTAGCTAAGAGCCAGGGACGGCTGTGTCATCTGCAAACTGGTCTGACCCACTCAAGAGGCTGTGAAGTTTTGCCCCAGGCTGTGCTATTCAGTGGTGCACTGCCTCTGAACATGGGATGTTCCATTTAGCGATCCTAGCTAAGAGCCATGGACGGCTGTGTCATCTGCAAACTGGTCTGACCCACTCGAGAGGCTGTGGGGAGGCCTCAGGTCACTATATCCCTGATCACCCTCCGTCTCAGCACATACCGAATTCGATGAAGGCGTAAGGCCTCGACACAAAGGGCACCTTCTTCCCATACAGCTCCCAGAACTCCGCTTGCAGCTCCTCCAGGTAGGAGAACGCCAGCTTCTTGGGCTGACTGGCCTCACACAGCGTCAGGTAGCAAACGCCTTGGCTGATCAAGTAACTGCAGGGGGGGGGGAGGGGGAGGCAAGAAGGGAGGGG